TTCTCCTTGAATTTATATTTGTTACAGTTTTACAACTTTCACTTTTATGACTTTTACTACAAAAAATGCATTTTAATTCATATTGTGGCTTAAAGGAAGCACTAGAATGTAATACTTCTGCTGTTGAAAGATCAAAATTACACTCTCTACCTGAGTGAGCTTTTTCCCTAGCTTGCAACTCAGCTTTTAAAGATTTTAAAACATATTTTATATCCCAATAATCACAGGAATCGAAGTTTCTAGCAATAATCAAATTTAACTCCTCTGGAATTTTTTGCATTATAATAGGAATCAATAAAGGTCCATACATAGTTGAATCTATACCTAAGTTTTCTAAACTTCTAATTTGAACTTCTATATTATCATGAATACGTCTTAATAAAGAAATGTTGTTAATACTTTGCACTCTCTCTAGAGATAGAAGTGACTTCATATGTGTCGAAATTAACAGTTGCTTATCATTAAATCTTTCCTTAAGTAATTCCAATGATGTATGATAGTTGTCATTTGTTAATGCTAAGCCTGAAATTGTTTTTAAAGCTTTCCCGTCAAGTAAATTTCTTAGATAGTTAAGCTTTTGTATTGGGGAAAGATCATTATTATTATGGATGGCACATTTAAAATTTTCATAAAAGGTCTGCCATTCCTCTGGCTTTCCACTAAAGGTACTTAATTTTAAATGTGGAAGTTTAATGTTATTATTTGAAAAACTTTTTAAACTGCTAGATTGCGACTCGTTAATACTTTTATAAATATTATTATTAAATTTTTCAATTATTTTCATGTTCTTTTTGAAAAATAAAGAAAACTCATTAGCTGAATTTTCTTCATTTAACAATTCCTCATCATCTTCAATTAAATTGATCAAATCATCATCAATCGCTTTAACTTTATTATATTTTTCGATCAAAACTTCCTTAAAACTAGATAGTTCCTCAAAAGAGTTACTATCCTGGCTAAAATTAGTCATACACTCATTGGCCCTTTCAAATTTATTTTTAACAGCAGTGACCGTAATGGTACGAACACGTCGTTTTCCAGCAATACTCGACATTATATAAAAACCCTATAAATGTCAACAACAAATGATGCTTACTTAAAAAAAAAAACTATGGTCAATTCTGACACAAACACAAATAAATTACAAATATATATAATTTTTTAATGCTAATAAAAACACGTGCATTAAACAACCCCCAAAAAAAAAGGATTGACCCAAAAAACAAGCACAATATCAATTATTACTTAACTTCAACTTTATCTTCTCACAAACTTTAATCTTTGTTCGAACTTGAGAATCAGCAACGAAATTTAATAACAGGTGGTAACTTTCAGAACAGCAACAACTTTAAAACAGCTGATAACTTCAAGATCAACAGCAACTTAAACGATAGCTGATAACATTAGGATCAGCAATAAACTTGAACGATAGCTGATAACTTTAGGATCAGCAATAAACTTGAACGATAGCTGATAACTTTAGGATCAGCAATAAACTTGAACGATAGCTGATAACTTTAGGATCAGCAATAAATATCTCCGTGGGCTCCAAATATTGAGTACTTAAATCTACTCAACGGTTTACTTTATATAAGAAATAACTACTATGTGAGTTTCAATAATATATTATAATAGTAAGAAGAGTTGTAAGTTAGTAAGGTCAATAATATAATATACAACTAGCATGAGAGCATGGCTTAAGACGCAATGCACTGCGGGAAATAGTTATAACCAATGGATAATTCGCGGGAAGCCAAATAGGCTTCAACAGCTATAACGTATCGGTTTTTGAAAAACATAATTTTTTAGTTAAAAATTTCTTTATAAAAACTTTAAAAAAAAAATGGATGAAAAACATCAGCAAAATACTATTAGGAGTTTCAGAATATTTTTTTTTAAACAATTACATGTAGTTATTAAATCATTTTCTAATATTGTAAAAAATAAATATAGCTGCATATTAATGAGATGTTTATTTACCATTACTCTGTTAAAAATTCAATGTAACTGTGGTGAGTTTAATAAAACGAACAAATAAGCTTTTCAAAGCTATACTAAAAATTTAATTTATACATCATTGAGTGCGAGTACGTATTGTGCTGGTCTAAAAACAAGAACAAATATCGGATAATCTGGTAATTTTAAAAATTAAACAGCATTTAATCTTTAACTGTTGCTTTAATCTTTGCCCATACCTTTGAACGAAGAACAATTATTTAATTTTGATTATCAAACCCACTGTTATAGTATCTCTAAAGATTGTTGAAAAGTAATGTATAGAATCAGCACTCTTTTGAAAAGTAATGCATAGAATCAACACTCTTTTGAAAAGTAATGCATAGAATTAGCACTCTTTTGAAAAGTAATGCATAGAATCAGCACTCTTTTGAAAAGTAATGCATAGAATCAGCACTCTTTTGAAAAGTAATGCATAGAATCAGCACTCTTTTGAAAAGTAATGCATAGAATCAGCACTCTTTTGAAAAGTAATGCATAGAATCAGCACTCTTTTGAAAAGTAATGCATAGAATCAGCACTCTTTTGAAAAGTAATGCATAGAATCAGCACTCTTTTGAAAAGTAATGCATTGAATCAGCACCCTTTTGGTAGACTTTGTATTACTCCAATTACAAAAGGTACGAGAAAAAATGAAGCAAATTGTTATATATGCTCAAACCATCATTGTTAATTTTCTTTGTAATTCTGTACATGTATTGAAAATGATAGAACATTCATTTATTGTATGCATATGTTAAAAAATTATAAGAATAAAAAGAAACATACAAGTATTTTAGGCTTTTTGCTTTAATCAAATAAAACGTTAATTTTATCTATCATATGCTTCTTTTTTAAATTAAAAAAAAAACATTTATTTTTAGCAATAAACATAGATATAGGTTTAAAACTTTAGTATACAAAATTTCAAATATTTGTAATGCTTAAATAAATTAGTTTATATATAAATTTGTATAAATATAAAATATCGTTAAGTTCACCAGTAAAAAAGTAGTGTAATATGTTTCAGGGGGAAAAAAAGTTAAGGGTTTTTTATGCTTTCAAAGTGTCTCTAAATGTCTAAACAAATGTACATTTCCATTAAGCTGCCTATAGATTTATCTATTGTTTTATCTAATTTAGATACACAAAGTGATTATGTGCATAATGTGTATAATCGTAATCATAAAAACAGATATTTATTCCATAGATATCATATGACTATAAATAAAAATATAATATTTTATATGTGGTAGGAGAAAGCGGGGCAACATGGAAAACGTTTTGAAAGCCCTGAGTTTTTGCAAAACTATCAGTCGTGAAGCAATAATACTTTCTCAGTATGTTTATGTAATTAAAATGATTCATTGCCTGTATGAATTTTCAATTTGCAAATATAACAATTTGAAATAAATATTAAAATAAAAAGTTCACAAGACTGTCATCTGGTCACGTGACCGGGGCAAGATCATGCAACTTTTGCCTCCAATTTTATAAAATTTTAAAAACTACCAATAATTGAAGCTATGGTTACACAAAATAAACATAAGTTACAAAAAACTACTTCTAAAGAAGTTAAACTTAAAGGACACCATCGATTATGAGAAACCGAAACTGAGGAACTTTTTTTTAATCGCAAAAAATAAGCTTATGCGTATAAAATTGCGTTAATAATATTAAATGCGTTAATAATTGGTGTTTTAAAATACAAGAAAGCAAATACAGTTTCGTTTTTACTCAACTTTAATATTTTTTGTTGAGTTGTTATGCCATGTTGTCTCATTCGCCAAGTTGCCCCTCTTTTCCCTATTTATACAATAAATACTACCAAAAAAAAAAAAAAATTTGCTAGTTTTTCCATTTGATTGTTTTTCTTTTTTTTTTGTAAAATAACATAAACCTTAATAATTGCATTCAATAGTAGTACTATAAGTTTATCTTTTTGTTGGTTTTTCAGGAAATTCCATTACAGTAACTGCATTATGTTACCATAGATTATTAAGTTATTATCAAAATAAAACCGTCTTCTTGTTTTTTAACAAGGAATTTATCTCTAACGGTAAATTTTTGAAATTTATCCGTGTTATTTGGCATTTACTCAAAGAATAATATACATCTACATACTAACATAATTAACAATACTTTTAAAATGTCCCGTTTTCTTAATATAAGTTCCGTTATCTTGGTATGTGTTTTACATAATGCTTTTCACAAAATATCATTTATTTTAAACTTATTAAATCCATTAAATGACATTGTTAAAAGAGCTCTATGAAAAGATTGTAGAGACATTTTTTTTTTTTTTTCTAGAAAAATATGAACAAGGTAAATTTACATTGAATATATTACTGGTAGGACTTCCAGAAGATCACATGATCTTATCATGAAGCCCTTTACAATCTATATAACGAATTACAAGGTAGAAAATTTACAAATATTAAAAATTACATAAGCGTTAGAATATTCTTCAGATGTTAAGCAAGTTTTAACATAATACTTTTTAATATGGATATATAACAATATTGAACAATATTATAATATAAAGTATTCAGCATATATTGTTTAAATAATATTCATCACACAGTAGACAAAAATATCAAATAATTTGAAATACTAAAAATAAATAAATATATTTTGTGTTGAAAAGATTATTTCTTTTGTTTTCTTTTTAAAGGAGGAATAAGACCATTTAAAAGAAAAATCAAAGTTAGGTAAAACTATTTTATTCCAAAGAAATGGACCACGATAAGAAATACAAAACTGGTCAATTTTTGTTTTGCAAAACGGCTCTTGAATACTTTTACTATCACGAAGTTCATATTTGTTTTTTGGTTTCAAATTATAGAGATTTATAAATACACTTGGAGATAAATTTTCTTTACATTTAAACATAAAACATAAAATATTAAAAATATTTAGTTCGTATATATTTAAAGCTTTCATTTCTATAAGAAGTGGTGTTGAGCTTGAAAAACGAAGAAAAAAAAAGCTTTAAAATATGATGATTAAGAGTCAATGAATATGCCTAGTGTGAATTGAGAATTCTTAAATGAATCGGCAATACTGCGTGTTACTTGGAGAATAGCGTGTTCAGTAGAACTGTTTCTCTGAAAACCAAATTGATTTTTATAAAGGAGTTTATTATCAATAAGATAAGTGTAAATTCTATTATACATTATTCTTTCTTTTATTTTTGAAAAACCGGTAGAACTGGGATAGGACGATAGTTTGTTATGTTGGTATGGTCACCTGTTTTAAAGATTGGAGTTACTTTGGCTATTTTCAAACTATTTGGAAACGATCCTTGAGTAATAGATGCTTTGAAGACTTTGAAGAGGATATCTTTAATCTCATTAAAAGAGTCGATTACAATATTTCCATTTATATCATCAGGCTCTACTGCTTTATTTCTTTTTAATGATTTAAATGCAATTTCGAATTCATTATAAGTTAGATTTGAAAAATTTAAAGTTGAATTTGGTGATGATATAAATTCATCAACAGAGTTGTTGTCTACATAAGGAATCTTGTTTGATAGGTTATGTCCTATTGACGAAAAAAAGTTATTGAGTTCGACTGCGATTTCATTTGAATCGGTAATTAACTTATTTTCAAATTTTATAGCATTCGGCATCGTATTTGTGTTTTTCTTATGTTTGCTAGTAATTTCTTTCATTATTTGCCACACCCGCCTTGAATTATGTTTGTGTTTTATAAGCAAGTCAGAGTAGTAAATTTGTTTGGGTTTTTTTCGGAGTTTTTCAAATAGATTTTTGTAAACTGTGTAGTTATTTTTATGTTTGTCGGATCTATTATTAAGATATTTAACATAGAGTTTTTTTTCTATTTTTGATGATTTTTTTATTCTTTTAGTTATCCAATGACAAGATATGTCTTTGGCGTTAAAAACTATTTCTCGAATAGGAAAATTTGCTTCATATATTTTGTAAAATATATTAAAAAAAGATTTGTAGATGATATTTATATCCTCATTAAAGATTATATAGCTCCAGCCTTGGTGTAAAAGTTGCTCTTTAAATAAATTTAAGTTATTGTTGCTATAAATTCGTTTTTTTAATGTTATTTTACCATTCGTATTTGTTTTGTGGTCAGCGCCTAAGCAGAAAAAAATTGGAAAGCGATCCGAAACATCAGTTTTTATAATACCTTTTTTGAGTGTAATATTGAAATAGTCATTGGTAAGAACATTGTCAATTAAGGAGGATAAAGACTTTGTAATTCTAGTAGGTTTATTTATAATGGGTATTGTTCCCGTTTCAAATAAATGATTATAAAACTTTGTTATATATTTTTTTTCATTATACTGGAATATATATTTTTTTCTTTTCTTGGCTAGTTTTTTCTATTATATTATGAACTAGATAATTGCTTAGGTACTCAGTTCTTCCGGTTGGTGGCTTAGTAAAATATTTTTAGATTTTTTATTTATTATTTCAACCGTTAAAATCTCAATATTATCATCAGAAACACTCATATCGCTTCGAATATTATACGCAAGGTTTTCTTTTATGTAAAAAAGAACTCCTCCTCCACGCTTATTAACATTACGCTCTAAGAAGACTGTATTAAAACCTGTAAAATGGAGATTAGAGTTTGATTTAAAATCTTCCTCTGTACACCAAGTTAAATAACGTTAAAAAAATTTTCCGTTTGACAAATCATATTCAAAAAGTTATCAAAATTTTTTTAAACTTCTGATATTAATGTGGATTATATTATAATAATCACGATTATCGTTATTTTTAAATATGCTTTTAATTTTATTTGGATAAAAGTAAGAGCATTCGAATTTTGATCCATTAATCTCATTAAAACAATTAATACCTGGATCAGATTCATTGTCTAAATTAAAAGTATTTGTTTGAAATAAATTTGATATTTTTTCAAAATCATTCCGATAAGTTGAATCCATTTTGTATGTTTTTGTTATTTTGAAAATAGTTGAAGGTTTTTATATACACTGGTATATATGTACGCACACATGTGAACATATTACATATATATATATATATATATATATATATATATATATATATATATATATATATATATATATATACATATATTATATATATATATATATATATATATATATATATATATATATATATATATATATATATATATATATATATATATATATATATATATATATATATATATATATATATATATATATATATATGTAATATGTTCACATGTGTGCGTACATATATACCAGTGTATATAAAAACCTTCAACTATTTTCAAAATAACAAAAACATACAAAATGGATTCAACTTATCGGAATGATTTTGAAAAAATATCAAATTTATTTCAAACAAATACTTTTAATTTATATATATATATATATATATATATATATATATATATATATATATATATATATATATATATATATATATATATATATATATATATATATATATATATATATAGTATATATATATATATATATATATATATATATATATATATATATATATATATATATATATATATATATATATATATATATATATATATATATATATATATATATATATATATATATATATATTAGGTTGGGGGGGGGGGGGAGAGGAAGAGTTCATACCATACATCGATGTAAACAACATCTATTTGTAAGAAAATCAATTTGTAACAAAATCTATTTGTAACAGAGAATTTTCACTCGTAAAAATCTCAAAGTTTCAATAAAGTTCATCTTGGTGATGGAGGTTTTACCTGTTGTTAATTTAAAGAAATAGAAAAAAGTGTAATTCGAAAAGATCTTGTGCTGATTCTTATAATTATTATTATCCTTGTTGAGTTTAGTTATGTTTATACTAAAACTAACCTGTTTATATATTTTAGTTTACATATTATTATATGAAGAATAAAGCCTTTTATGTTGGCTTAGAATTAATTATAGACTATTTAATTTACTACACTACAGATCTATAAATTTATTTCTCGCAAAATATGTTCTTGGCCTTAAAGCATACTCAAATACAAAGTTTATATACAGTTGTACAAGGCTACTTGTGAAGTACTTTTGCATATGAAGATTATATGCAGTTTTACCAGACTACTGATGAAGAACTTTATTTATAAATTGATTTATACGTTAATTATAAAGAGTTGAATATTAGAGTTTTTAAATAAAGAAAATTTGTACTGATTGCAAAACTAGCTTACATGTTCCATGTCAATATATGAGTTTTGAGGAAATTTTGTTTTCATGTTTTGTTTCAACTATTGTTTGGAGGAGACTGATTTACTTTTTATTGCATAACTCTAATAAAACATCATCTTAAACCATTAAACACTTTTTAAAAATTTAAAAAAAATTTTGGCAGGCAATATTAACTGTATGAATAAAACATTATTTGAAAGTTTAACAACAGAAGTGAAATTTATATGTTTGTCTGCTGAACAGTAATTTTTTGTGAAGTTACATATAAAAAATAAAATTAAAAGCAAGAAAAAGTATTAAAGTCAAATTTTTTTTTAAATATCTTCGCTTCCAACAACGCTGCAAGCAACCACTAATTAGTGTTGGAAGTTACTGGAAGAGAAAAAATGAAGATTGTAGAGAAAGATAACGATTGACAGACGACTTAAAAGATTACAAATTATATGAATCTGCAAAGCATGATGAAGGAAGCGAATTCCAAAGAACTGATGTTTGAGGAAAAAAACTAGACGAATAAGAGTTTTTGGAGCACTTAGGAACAGTAACAGTAAAATATGTTAACCAAATAAAAAAAAGAACAAAATCAATTGTCATGCTATGATTATTTTGTTATAATAAAATATGTTTTGTTGTATAAACTCTTGAAATATTTAACTTGAATTTGCATGTGTGCAATTTTGCAAGATTTCTAAGTGTGTTTTTTGTCAAATGTAATGTCTATGTTCTATAAAGCATGGTCAATACAAAGTTTATATACAGTTGCACCAGACTATTGGTAACGTACTTAAAGTATGCAAAGTATAAATTTTCAGCTGAGGCAGAGGTTGTTCTATGCTCATTACTGTATCTTTACACTGTCTTGTTAATTATAAATAGTTAAACATTTAGATAAAAAATAAAAAAATTACAGATATTTTACCAAACTAGCTTACATGTTCCATGTAAATCTACGAACTCTGAAGAAGTTACTGTTTAACCTCAATATTGAGAAGGCTGATAAGACGTACATCAATATTTTTCTTTACTTAACTTTAATAAAAAATTATCCTTAAACCTTCAAACACTTTGTGAAAAATTAAAAAAAGTTTGGCAGGGTGTTTTAACTTATATATATAAATAGGATGAAAATTGTATATTAATAATCTATTGGAAAATTTAACAAAAAAAAAGTGATATTTATTTGTTTTTCTACTGAACAGTTCTTTTGTTCAGTTACATTTAAGCGTTGATAATACAAGCTAACAAAGAGAATTGAAGTTAAACAATTTGACCAAATTAGGGTGAATTATGGCAATTATTATTATAAAAAGAACTTGATCAAAACAAGCTTTTACATTTGAAGAAGCAAGTTTTCAGAAAAAAAAAAAAATATTACTTCAAGATAAAACATAACACATCTCTATTTTTAAATTATTATACAAGAGGTATTCACAGAAATTCAAAAAAAGCACACTTGATTTTATTGGTTATTCCAAAGATTACATAATAAAACTAATAATAAAATTTAGAAACATGAAAGATAAATATTGAAAAAAAAGTGTTTCTTTTTCTTTTTTTTAGAGAAGATATTTTTTTTTTCTTCAGGAGTATGTAATGTAAAATAAATTAATAGCATAATAAATAAAAAAAATTTCAAACTTTGTTGCTTTATTTAATTTTATTTACCATCAGTTGTTATTTAAGACTAAACGTTTTTTACCAATTATAGAATTCAATAACCAATATTTTGTTCAGGTTAAAAGCTATATATTAACAAACATGTGCTTTATATGTATTGTCTTTTAAAATTGAAATAAACAACAACATGAACTTGAATTTTTGCAATTTTTCTTGTTTTTACCTTTTTACACTTAGCTCTGCATAAAGGTGTGGTAAGTTAAGAGTTGTTCATTTTTGTAATCAGTTTACTATATCAAAACACACTTGTGGACATCAGGTTATAAATTTTTTCTTATAGCTTATTATGCTACTATGCTTTGTAATTTTTTATTACTATACATTACGAATGCCAATCTAAATCAGCTCTTGTTTACAATTGCTATTAATTTGAGAGTGATGTAAATTATCTGGGCTAGCTACAACAACCAATAAGCAATATTCTCAAACTTAAAATGTTTTAGTGGTGTATACAATTTTTAAATGGGAATAATAAGTGTAAAAATTCTGAAAAAAATAAAGTATAAAAAAAAAAATATTTTTCTTGCTAAATGATAGGATTAATGGGAACTTAATTTGAAAAAACTTATACCAACTTAATAATATTTTATTGATATTACTTGGTAAAATTTTAAAACTGTTAGTTTGAAAATTTTACCAAGTAATATCATAAAAAGCATAGTAAAGTTGTACGATCTGGTTTATAGTTTGTTACAATCGTTGTTATTTTTATATTTTAGAGTTATAAAAAAATAAAGAAAACAAACTAATTTTTTTAA